GAAAAATACAAAAAGCGAGATTGACCTAAAGGGTCAAGACGGATTTTCAAAGTACAATTTTTCAGTCGAGCCGAAGGGAATTGGAAAGCCCGCCTTATGTGAACGCTTCTCGCTTGTGCGCGCTCATGAACTACTCTTATGGCAGTTTCTAAAACTGCTGCCGTTTGGCGATAAAAAACTAATTTAAAACAAAACCCATTGTTACCGATTTGTTCGCGTGTTACAAGTCACTTGAGCTCAAAGCACGTTCGAACACGTGGAATTACCTAGTTAATTAGGTCAGAATCTATAGCCGGCGCCGTTGAGTGTTCTATTAAACGAGTCTCTCTCGATATCGAAAACGCCAAAATAATATGTGCATGTTTTTAAGTTGCTACAAAAGTAGCACGTAATACCTAATTGCCCAAGTTTAACCGCCCAAACGAATCGCAGCGTTTTAATATATTCATTAGCTCTCAGGTACTTTTGGCCGAGTTGAAAATTGATGTGAACCGCGTCCAAAAAGAAAACGAGCGCGGTAATAATTTACACTTACCGCCCTCCCTTCCCCCATCGCACTAGTACTTAAACTTTTCCGATTTCGGAAATTACCAAAGCGGCTAGCGCTGCGTCATGTCTACAAGTTTATAAAATTATAATGTAAATTAAACATTGACAGAGATAGTAATTAATTTTAAATTTACTTAGGAACGCGACTCAAAAAGAAGATCCCTTTTTGTCGGATTAATTACATTTTACTTCAACACTGCGGTGAGGTATGCTCAACGAGTCAATATACTACTTTACATAAAGCCCAACCTAAATTAAATTATGTGTATCATCTTAGGTTTCCGGTACTACCAATATTGCGCCGTTTCCTCGGTACAATTTTCTGTTGACATTTAATTATTCAATACGTTTGCTTTAATTATATTATAAGTTGCGCACCACTGAATTAAACTTGTGGCGAGTAAATGTAATACTTACTACTATTACTTCTTATTCTAGACCAATTGATAATATTAAACGGGAAATAGCATACATATCACTTATAAGAAGCTTTACGAACTCGTGTGAGCTTTGCTAAAAGGAAGACATACATACACTTTGAGTTGACGAGGAGCCACAACGAATCGTTTTTCTCCTATTTTGTATGTTAACAGCTGTGAACTAGGATACGACAATAATGCATTTCAGGGCTGGGCTTTCTGTAAACAGAGGTCGGTTACTTTGGCCCTTAATAGGCGAGACATTTTTATAGGTCAACATGGGACAATGAGAAGAGAAGAGAAGTATGTTATTATATTAATATTATGGCATAGCAGCTACTCGTGAACGCATATTATAAGTGATTTCACCCAATTCTAAGTGCATTCTTTCAAATCAATTTACTCGAGCTTAATCTTTAAAACGCTTATAATAAATGCAACTTTAGAGAGAGAAAAAACTTGGCCTTAGAAGATATATTTTATCTCATTAAATGCCTGCTATGGATTTTAACGACCATTGACATGCATAAAACAAATCAAATCGCTTGAATATATTTCATAAAGTTCAAAGTTATACTTAAATTCTAATAAGAAGATCATGCTACTATCACTGTACGCTTTTCGCACAATATATTATATAAACCGTTGGTTTAATTTATGTTTGAAAACTATATATACATTATACAGAACTTAACTACATAAAAAAAGGTGCATTAAACTACACAAAAAGTATGCAGTCCATCGCTCAAAGAAGAGTTATAAAATGTAAACACAATATGACTAGCACTTCTTGCGCCGGTGTCGATATTACCATCATTAATAATAGGGGTCTACCTAATACAAACTGGCAATCCTTCATAGTTTTCCCAACTTATAAACACTGCTATATGTAAAGTTCGTGTCATAAAAACATGTGCCGCTCATGATGAATAATATCATAATAATATAATCGGCCCCTGTACCATGCGTGCGAGTCCCAACACGTGTAGATCAGCGTTGGCAATTTTCTTCTATTTACATAAAATGTCATCATTAAAGAATGATGATACGTCAAACAACTGCTTAAAAAACGCTGAGCGTGAATGATTATTAACAATCACTAAACCTTTTTTTCATACGTATTTTTTGTAGAATCGAATGCTCTAACTAAGTTTTACAATACAACACAAATATGTGGAAAAAGTAGTTAAGCCGTAAGTACGATGCTATTTGTTTTTCTATGATAACTATACCTAGTTCAAACAAATTAGCGTCGTTTAATAAAAATAACCAAACAAATATTTCACTTGTCGGAAGCTTATACATTATAATTATTTATAGCGACGTAAACACACACATTATTTGACACATTTATTTCGTCTGATTTTCGTGTTGAATCGAAAACCTATTTCCATAGCATATGATAATAATATTATAGAAACATCGACGGACAATCGGTGATGGATTGAGAGATATTTGAACATTCATCAATGTACGCTGGCTGGCCCAAGTTGATGTACAGATCGGTTAATTACAAATATGGAATCCTATAAATAACCATATATCCGTTTAGTGTGTTTTGTACATCTATCATTATAGAGAGTCTACTCCATCCGTTTGGACTATAAAACGGGCTATGTTTCATTCACATTTATTTAAGTAAATTTTGACTTGAACATGGTTTTTTAGCTGAGGGCCAATCCAAAATTGGCGTGGCGTCGTGACGATAGTATTGATGGTGACATTATTTAAAAATAAAATAAGTAAGTGTAAGTGAAGGTAGGGAAGGATAAGTGGAGGAAATGGTCATTTATCAAATCTAAAAACAAGTAGAGTCAGTCGATAAGAGATGATTGATAAAAGACAGTAAATCAGTTTATCATAAGATATTATTATTCATGATCCCCAATGTCCGTTAGTCAAAGGGGAAAATGATTTAAATGATTTTTATTTTTAGATACCGAGTTGACTGAACGTTTTTAATCCTTATACCTATAATATACAAGTTTAACAAGTACGAGGAAAACGGTACGTTGCGAGATTGACAAAAAGAAAGCTATTCTCTATACGTTTTTTTTTTTATTACTGATGCGTTGTGCCGCAACAGTTTGCTGGCTCGTTCAATTATTCGCCTTTCGATTTTTGAACACATTTCGTTAAACCGTTGAACCGTGTAAACATATAGTGTCCCAGGAACCGACGTACAGACAAAGGGTAGAGTCAATTACCGAGTTGTCACAACGATGTGTCTTATAAATTATTTCCCTAGCACTACTCCTTTTGCCTGCGTGTATGTGTATCGGAATTCAGAATAAGGAAAAAAAAAACAATACAAAATCCTAGTACGACCCACGGGTTTGGGCTCCAGGAGTACGGTATAGAAAATGTTCGTTTGAATAAACATCATGGCTGATTGGTTTTTTACTCGTCTCGAACGCCCTTTCACCTGAACTTGTTTCCAACAGGGGTAGCCGTGACAAACATATGCGCCAGTGTTTGTGTAACGGGCGTGAAAACAGAGTTCTCTTTTTATTTCTATTTGAACGATCGCTTTGCCTTTGTATTTGCAACGTTTTTATTTCTCGTGTGCATGCACTCACGCCGTTTCGCTTAATCAACATAATATAGCACTGGAGCAGCTTTTTACCATCCAATTACACGTTGATAGGTAATATTATCGTTGGACCTACTTAGATAATAGTACAGGTCATTAAGAGGACGCGCTACCCATCTGTTAATATTAAGGATAGTAACATATTGGCAATTGTTGTAAAATCACCAAATTTTCTACAGTAAACGGAGGAGAACTTTGTCTGTACACCAAACTGCTTTATTTGTTGCGGCCATAAGCGTCGCACAGTCTATAAGCATGGATTAATTTCAATGCACAGTTATCTGTGATTTGACGAGGAAAACGTCACTAATACAATACACTTCCTGTTCCAACGAACTAGTGTCAAGCGCGTAACCAAAATATTTTATAAACTTTACAGAAACCCCAACGCTTTTGGTATAAGCTTCACTCAACGCATACGACTAAACTTGAGTATTCGACTCATAAAATTATCTAATATAACATTTCTACGTGTCAAACACTTTGTGTCAAGAAAAAAAATGACATTTAAGACTGAGGCGAAAATAATATCTCAACTAAAAAATTTTCTAATTCAAGTCTAAAAAACTATTAGTGGGCTCTTGAGAACACTTTTTAGTAACATTTTACATCAGCAACAATTTACACGCATAAAATATTTATTAATTATAATATTTTATTCATTATGTACAGGGTGATTCATTAAGGATAAGGCACTAATTTTCTCTTAAAATAATTGCAAATTTGTAGTGTCATCTTTCAGGAGACACTTAAGTTTTTCCTATTTTAGAATATTGTAAAATAACAAAAAAAAAAATGCTAAAAATAAGATCCAAAATTGCAATTATCTTATGAATCACCCATATTATATAGTATAATAGTAAAGAATAAAACAAACCTACCAAGTTTTAGTAGGGATTAGTACTTGTAGTACATTAATGAAAAAGAAAACTATATGATTAACTGATCACACTGGAGAGGGGTGATAAGCAGAAGGAGATCTTCTATTTTACAACTAGCATGCGATACGGGTACTTTGGTATAACAACTTTGTACTTCTAGCAATATTAGAAACAAAATAAAAACAATATAATAGTTTTTTATTACACAAAACTATTTGACTAGGTAAAACAAAAACGTTTTCTTCTTCTCCCAACTATTTGAGTCAAATCAATATAATATTGTAAAAAAATGTATTTACGATATTGCTATTATAAACCTATTACTGTTTTAGATAAGTATATAAGAGAATATATTCATACATAATGCATATTGTGAATTGATATGCGGTCATTTTTGAATAAATAAGTAAAATACTACTGAATAAAAATTGCAAAATTGGAATATAATAATACATTGACAAACAGTTTTCAAAGATCAACATTATCCATATAATTACTTTTTTTCTAAAAACTTCATGAAATATTGTAATTTCATGAGTTTTTTGGTTTTGGTTTCAGGTGATTCAACGCTGTTACTACTTGGCCGACTGAGACGGTAAGTTATTAAGCGAAAAGATAACTACAAGATAAATAATAATTAATTGTTACACGTCACGCGGTGTCATTAATATAACGACTGCAATAAGGCTCATAAAAACTATTGACATTGTTATTATGTATTTCTTATAATATTATCATTTATCACTATCATCATCATAATCATTATCATTGTTGTACAGTGGAATTTACTTGTAATTCGTGAGGGGCATAAATTATACGGTATACACGTCGGTGGGGTTGGTTTAGTCCTGTAAATATATTCTCGCAAGCACTCTCTCTATCTTTGTAACCTTCGTTAAACGACCAATAAATTAGTTGCCGGCATTATCGGTGTTTGAAACCGTTAGAGAACCAGTGAGAGTAAGAGGGTACCCTTTTTGGCTGGAAAGTATACAAGAATAAATAAATGTTCACGGAGTCAACAATCATTTCATTGTGGTTTTAAAGTGCAATTAAAAAGCCATTGGAACCTTTAACGATTGACTAGAAAATCAATAGCTAAAAAAAAAAAATATCTCAGATTTAAATGTTTTGTTTAAAATCTATCGCAAACAATTATTCTTTTATGACATACACAACTGTTGAGTTATATACAAATTTCATAAATAAATCGAATTAAATCCATCGCACTATTTTAATGGGTGACACGTCATTTTTGTTTTTTATTTGTTTTACTATATATATAAATCATTTATTTAAAATACCGCTACATTAAAAGGTTTCTTTATAAATTAATTTTTTTGAAATTTTAGATATGTTTTAGTTTAATTAAACAACTTGAATTAACTCGTGTGAATTGTAATGAATACTAATGTATTTATTCGTCTATGGTAAAGTAATGAACTTATGAAACCTAAACTTATCAAAACAAAAACATATTTGCTCACACGTCAGTTTAACAAACACGATATATGTATTTTAGTTATGACTAGTCCAAAAAGTTATTAATAAACTTTTTATAACATTTCACGATGAATTCTACCGGCTAAACAATAATATAGAGTGAACTGTTAATTAAAATAACCAAGTCGTCAAGCTGTCTGAGAAATGTGTGATTGGATTTTAATTGGTTGGTAACTAATACTTTTAACGATTTCGCCATGTACAAATTGTAGAAACATCAACAAGACTTTCCAAGACAGTTGAAAGGAAATAATGGTATTAGCAACACGAAGAAACAACATGATTAATTAAAAAACAATTCTGGAGACTTGAGACTTGTATGGAAAAGCAAACTACTACTATTAATTAAATTACATGTTTCTTGGTAAAAACAGAAATCCTAATGAAGTTATATTATAGTACTATACGCTTTAAAGAATAACAAATTCCATTTGGAACTCTGAATTTCTAACGGGTTCAAAGGCAGTGACTCGTATAATGTGATAAATTAGATTTATTAAAAAATAATGCTCTGACCAGACATTGTACATATTGACCAGCACAGTTACCCACAGTTACCCACAGAGTAGTTTTCAGTTAATTTTGTTTTACTTTTGCTCATAGTATATTATTATACACTGTATACATTAGTTGTATCGTGGTTTTCCTATATTTGAGTATACTAATAAAACGTTTTGAATTTCCCAAATGTTTAATAAAGCTCAATATCTGCTTCTGTAAATTACATTTGCCCCTTTTTGATTGATTGAACCGAATAGCGTAGGGTTAATCATATACGCTGGACATAATATTATATAATGTCTATATATTGTGTAGTTTACAAATAATATGTAAATAATAATAGATAACTACATTGGTATATTGTAATGTATAATATATGGTTTATTAGTTTGACATAGGTTCCATGAATAATGATTTTATATAGGTACCATATTATTCTAATTGCTGTAGCAAAGTAATATTTTATGCAATGACTACTGCATCGAAAACACTATTAGAGGAATAGGTATTTTAATAAAATAATACTTACCAAAGTGTGTTAAAAAAATTTACAAGATTAAAAAAAATATAAAACTGTGGTTGGAAATGCAAAAACTATTGCAAATGCATATTTAATAAGTACAGACACGTTCCTAGACATCAGAGTATAAATTATGTATAGTAGCTATTTCAAAAATATTTCAAACATATTTTAGGTCACAGACAAATTTTAATCATTGTAATAAAATATATTAAAAACATAAATATGTTTTTATACTTTCTGTGTGTATACACACCATCATTTTAATTTAATAGTTGAATTTTAAACACTGTTTTTTTATTATGGTTAGACTCGGGTCTGCTTTTATTATCGTATGTTCTCAGATAATTATTGCCGTTTACCGATTAACTTGACTATCTAATAAGGTTGTTTTTTTAAACGTTAGACATATATATTTCTATACAGATCTGCAATTCACAAAAAAACAAAAAGATTTTCTTGTTAAAAAAAATCTTTTATCTTTTAGCTATGTTGGCGCGTATATTATAGTACTTGAGATAAGTATCTCCGTCGTCGCAGTATAATAAATATATATAACTACTATCGCCGGTCGAGGGATCGCAAAATGTAAGTATTAATATATATGTGCGATGGAAATTTGCACCTTCACTCACATGCTTACACATGCGTACCCTATTGAAAAAAGGGTAAGGTTACCCGGCGGAGAGGACCTATCGGTGAAAATATTTCTAAGCTATAATGCAACGTGCACCGTCGTAAAACCGTCGAATTGAAGAGCTTCACATACACACACCACATTCATCCTAACACTTAACTGCTGTGATTTATATTCATTTATTGGTGCGGTAAGTGCTCATCGTATGCGTAGGTACCATGAATTATAAACCAATAACAAACTCGGATTTATCTAATGGAGAAGAGGTATTTTTTATTTTTTATTTATTCGTCCGCCTTTTACTCCGTCCACCGGGTCGCTCACTTTATAAATCATCCCTTATACATCATTATATCCTTATCTGTTGCCCGAGCATTCAGTACAGCCTTTGGATGTGTATTAAACGTCGCGTTATAAGCGTCTTCTATATTATGAGCGCGCACCAAGTTTTTTTTAAGTCTCTCCATGGTCGTACAATGTACTCTACTTATCAATAGTGAATTATTATTGCAATTTTAACCACTATTGAAAATCAGTAATCAATTGAAAATTCCTTCATTGACGTTCGAAAGTAATAATAAACGGCCTACATGGATGTTGCAATAAAACCTTAGCTATATTATGATCTTTAAAGAACAATAAACGTTTTTGGTTTTGAATCGGACTCCAAATCTGCGTATAACATTAAGTTTTTGGAACGATTCCAAAGAACACTAACATTATTATAGTGCATTCGACTTTATATGACGTACTTGAGTATATTTTAAGTACAGTACTTTTACACGCATTTCCATTTTATTACGGTTATAAATATATTATCTGCTGCCATGATTTGAGTAATAGATTATACACACACAATGTTTTTAACTTCTTACGCTTTATGTGATTTCCATAAAAATAATTTCAAGTGATGGTCTTTTCGTAGGTCGATAGTTTGTTAAATACAAATGCATCAGTCGTTTGAGAGAGAACATAAATCATTAATAAAAATTTTTTATACAAGTAAAAACTTCACGGGCAACACATAAGTGGTACACAGCTATGAGCTTTCAACGATGTTTGAGTCTTGATGGAATCCGCCATAATTTCATTTCTTCAAAAATTGTGACTTAACTTGTGTCGCAAATGACTGATTTGAATTTATGAAAGTTTATTAAAAAAACTTTATTTCTAAATTTGTTTTTGAAACTTGAACACTCCATAAATTAATATTTAAGACTCGGGGTTGTAATTTGAATAATTACTTATGTTGATGTAGGTGTATCTGGTTATGAGATCGGTTGGTAATTTGTGAGTGTAATTATTTGAATAAAAAATAATTAAAAGTCTCTCTTAACGGGGGTTTCTTTTTATGCGATAGGAGTGCCTGGACGTGTTTATTTTTCTCTAATCTTGACAAAAAAACGCCATTAAGCGAATAACAGAAAACCGAATTATTTTTGCATTAACATATTATACAGAGGCGCGCGTGTTCGAAAAACAATAACGGTCATCGTTTTTTTCCCTTTAATCGAAACTACTCTTATACTTAGCCTTTCTGATTGAATTCGTTTAAAATTATACAAAAACGACATCCGAACAAACTTCATTAAGCTTTAATTATTATTATTACTTTTTTTTAAATATATTTATATAATCAGCTTTGTTTATTTACTTTTGCCGGAGAACTGCAACTCCGCGAGTGTAATTTATGCGAGATTCGTTCTCTCCGTGAGATTTAGTTGCTATACACCGATCTGTCCATTTACTCGGATTGTCACGATTCGTTAGGTTTTTGCATTACAAATGCAACGCGAGCCGGTAATTCCAAGTCGAATGTTGATTCAGCGAGTGTTCGCCGGTTGTTTTGAATTATTTTCGTTTCGCGTCGCCGGCAAAAACTTCAAAAACAAGATTACCGGCAGTAAGAAGACGTACTATTGTCTAACGTAAAGCTTTGATCCGCGCCCCGTGCACGGCGCTGGCAGACGGAAGTCGCCATCGAGAGGTAGGAAAATCTTGCAACCGGCAATAGAACAAAAAGAAAAAAAAAACAATTATCCGAACCGTATATATTCTCTAGATCCGTATATTATTATTGTAGTCCTCTCGATGTGTGAAACCAATAATATAGCTAGAGCTAATATTATATATATATATATACAGTGTCGGTCGGTACACACAGCACACACACACGTTATATGCATAACATGTACGGTTCGATTTTGCCAAATAGAGTGGCGTATATAATATTATGGCGTCGACTATTTTTCTCCCCTTGTACACTCACTATACTATTTTGGCTGTGTATGTGTGTGTTATATATGTGCTGTGTGTGTACTTATTGGCTGCTACGAGGGCTGCTTTATGTACATCTAGCTGTATACTAAACGTCTGAGCGAGCGTGTGTGAATCATGGCCGAGCTTTATTTAGAGAAAATAAAAACATATAATA